TTCGTCGCCGAGTTCGAGAGCGGCGAGACGACCCAGCACTCGGTCCTCGACGACCACGGCCTGGAGATCGCGCTGTCCGCGACGCGGTACGCGGAGCTCGCGATCAACAACGGCCGCCGCGCCGACGCGCTCGCGGAGCTGCGCGGCGCCGAGGCCTACCTCGCGTCGACGACCTCCAACGGCTTCCAGGCGTCCGTGAACGTGCGCCTCAAGGCCGAGCACATGGTCAAGATGGCCAGGTTCGTCGCGAACGCGATCCCCGACTTCCCGCCGCTGAACGTGTCCCACGTGTCGCCGAAGCGCCTCCGGGACACGGTGGACTCGCTGCGCCAGGGGAACCAGGAGCTCGGCCACGTCCACGTCTGGTCCCACGCGACGCTCGTGGATTATCTTCTAGCGGCGGAGAAGGCCGTGCCCGACGACGCGCACTTCGTGGCTCTGGCGGCCGAGGTCTGCGGCATGCCCTACGGCCCGGCGCAGCCCCTCGACGACGCGCCGCACACGGAGTACCGCATCGTCCTCCAGCGCGCGATCCCGCGGCGCGAGGGCCCGCGGAGCGAGCCCGACGGATCCCGGGGGCCGCACGTCGACCTCGGCAAGCGGTGGATCGTCATGGCGGCGCTGTCGCGGCGCTACCAGGCGGGCCACGCGCGGGCCTGGCCCGTGCTCCTCCCCGCGCGGGACCACGCGGGCGGGAGCCCCGGGAGCCGCTTCCCGCCCGCGGACCTGGCGGACCTCTTCCCGAAGAAGCGCGCGGACGGGCGGCCCGCGCGCTGGGCGGACCCGCCGCCGCGGGGCCGCCAGCGCGGGCCCCTCGCGGGCATCCCGAACCCGATCCTCCCCGGCGGCGGGCTCCACCCGGCCTACGCGAAGCTCGACATCTCGCCGGTGGAGATCAGGGCAGGACAAGGGTGATTCAACGCCGCTTCAACGTGAGTGTTCCGCGCGCGCGCGTTTCGGAAACAGCACCAACGCTTCGAGAGCGCTCCGAGAGATGATCGCTCGTCCAAAAATCAGCCGAAACGAGCGGAAAACGACCGAGATAGGAGCCTTTGAAGTTGGGAATTTCGCACCCTTTTCCTGCCCAGGTGGAGATGGAGGTCCTCGAGCACGCGGCTAAGATCGCCGCGACGCTCGGCGACGACGACGACGACGACGACATGATGGCGCCGCCGCCGGGCGGGACCGCCGACGCGCCCGGGGCGCCCGCCGACCCTCCGCCGGGGCT